TTGCGTGACAAGACCAGTTAAGTCTCTGGCCAATGGTAACCCCCAAGTTGTTGATATTCAGGGATGGTGATACCTCTGAATGTCAAAGGGTGAGGTTAGGTTCTCCCTTGTTGGTGGCAGTCATGCCTGGCACTTGTGTGGTGCAAATGTTACTTGTCACTTTTCAGGCCAACCTATTATCCAGGTCTTGCTGCATTTTGATACAGTATCGAAGGAGTCGCGAATGGTGCTGAAAAATGTGCAATCGTCGGTGAATATCCCCACTTCTGAGGTTATCATAGAATCCTGACAATGTGAAAGCAGGGCATTTGGCCCATCAATTCCACACTGGCCCTTGAAAGAGCATCCGACCAAAACCCAGCCCACTACCCTATCCCTGTAACCTTGTATTTCTCATGCCTAATCCATCAAGCCTGAACATCCATGGACACTATGAGCAATTTAGCATGGCCAATCCATCTAACCTGCACATTTTTAGACTGTTGGAGTAAACCGGAGCACCTGAAGGAAACCCATGCAGACACAAGGAGAATGTGCAAATTCTGCACAGACAATCACCCAAGGATGGATTGAATCCAGGTTTGGCACTGTGACGCAGCAATGCTAACCACTGTGCAACTTATGATGGAGGGAAGGTCATTGATAAAGCAGTCAAAGTTGTTTGGGCCTAGAACAATATCCTGAGGAACTCCTGCAGAGATGTCCTGGAGTTCACAACCATCTTCCTATGCGTAAGGTATGACTCCAACCACCAGAGAGTTTGCCATATAATACCCATTGATTCCAGTTTTGCTAGGGCTCCTTGATGTCAGGGCCTGTCACTTTCAGCTCACCTCTGGAATTAAGCTCTTTTGTCCATGTTTGAACAAGGCTGTAATGAGGTCAGGAACTCATTATGTTTGAACCAACGCTGCAATGAGGTCAGGAACTCATTATGTTTGAACCAAGGCCCGAGGTGGGACTATTACAAATCGGACTGTCTACACCTGGACAGGACGGGAACCAATGTCCTAGGGGCTGCTTTTGCTAACGCTGTTGGAGAGGGTTTAAACTAATGTGGCAGGGGGGTGGGAACCAAATGAGAAGGTTAGTGGACAGTAAGGAGGTAGTAACTAAAGCCTGTAAGGAACTAGATAATGAAGTCAGTGTGACTAAGGGGAAGAGTAGGCAGAGAGCAGATGACGAACGCAGAGGGACAGGTGGTCTGAGGTGCATTTGTTTTAATGCGAGAAGTGTAGTAGATAAGGCAGATGAACTTAGGGCTTGGATTAGTACCTGGGAGTATGATGTTATTGCTATTACTGAGACTTGGTTGAGGGAAGGGCAAGATTGGCAACTAAATATCCCAGGATATAGATGCTTCAGGTGGGATAGAGAGGGAGGTAAAAGGGGTGGAGGAGTTGCATTACTGGTCAAAGAGGATCTCACAGCTGTGCTGACGGAGGGCACTATGGAGAACTCGAGCAGTGAGGCAATATGGGCAGAGCTCAGAAATAGAAAGGGTGCGGTAACAATGTTGGGGCTGTACTACAGGCCTCCCAACAGTGAGGTGAGATAGAGGCACAAATATGTAGACAGATTATGGAAAGCTGTAGGAGCAACAGGGTGGTGGTGATGGGAGATTTTAATTTTCCCAACATTGACTGGGATTCACTTAGTGTTAGGGGTTTAGATGGAGCAGAATTTGTAAGGAGCATCCAGGAGGGTTTTTTAGAGCAGTATGTAAATAGTCCAACTCGGGAAGGGGCCATACTGGACCTGGTGTTGGGGAATGAGCCCAGCCTAGTGGTTGAAGTTTCAGTCGGGGATTACTTTGGGAATAGTGATCACAATTTCGTAAGTTTTAGAATACTGATGGACAAAGACGAGAGTGGTCCTAAAGGAAGAGTGCTGAATTGGGGCAAGGCCAACTATAGCAAAATTCGACAGGAGCTGGGGAATGTGGATTGGGAGCAGCTGTTTGAGGGTAAATCCACATTTGGTATGTGGGAGGCTTTTAAAGAGAGTTTGATTAGAGTGCAGGACAGACATGTCCCTGTGAAAATGAGGGATAGAAAGGGCAAGATTAGGGAACCATGGATGACAGGTGAAATTGTGAGACTAGCAAAGAGGAAAAAGGAAGCATACATAAGATCTAGGCGACTGAAAACAGACAAAACTTTGGAAGAATATCGGGAAAGTAGGACCAATCTGAAACGAGGAATTAAGAGGGCTAAAAGGGGTCATGAAATATCTTTAGCAAACAGAGTTAAGGAAAATCCCAAAGCCTTTTATTCATACATAAGGAGCAAGAGGGTAACTAGAAAAAGGGTTGGCCCACTCAAGGACAAAGGAGGGAAGTTATGCGAGGAGTCAGAGAAAATGAGTGAGATTCTTAATGAGTACTTTGCGTTGGTATTCACTGAGGAGAGGGACATGACGGATGTTGAGGTTAGGGATAGATGTTTGATTACTCTAGGTCAAGTCAGCATGGCGGGGGGAAGTGTTGGGTATTCTAAAAGGCATTAGGGTGGACAAGTCCCCAGGTCCGAATGGGATCTATCCCAGGTTACTGAGGGAAGCAAGAGAGGAAATAGCTGGGGGCTTAACAGATATCTTTGCAGCATCCTTGAGCACAGGTGAGGTCCCGGAGGACTGGAGAATTGCTAATGTTGTCCCCCTGTTTAAGAAGGGTAGCAAGGATAATCCAGGAAATTATAGACTGGTGAGCCTGACGTCAGTGGTGGGGAAGCTGTTGGAGAAGATATTGAGGGATAAGATCTATTTACATTTGGAAGAAAATAGGCTTATTAGTGATAGGCAGCATGGTTTTGTGCAGGGAAGGTCACGTCTTACCAACTTGATAGAATTCTTTGAGGAAGTGACAAAGTTGATAGATGAGGGAAGGACTGTGGATGTCATATACATGGACTTCAGTAAGGCGTTTGATAAGGTTCCCCATGGTAGGCTGATGGAGAAAGTGAAGTTACATGGGGTCCAGGGTGTACTAGCTAGACGGATAGAGAACTGGCTGGGCAACAGGAGACAGAGAGTTGTAGTGGAAGGGAGTTTCTCGAAGTGGAGAACTGTGACCAGTGGTGTTCCACAGGTATCCGTGTTGGGACCACTGTTGTTTGTGATATACATAAATGATCTGGAGGAAGGTATGGATGGTCTGATTAACAAGTTTGCAGAAGACACTAAGATTGGTGGAGTAGCAGATAGTGAAGGGGACTGTCGGAGAATGCAGCAGAATATAGATAGATTGGAGAGTTGGGCGGAGAAATGGCAGATGGAGTTCAATCCAGGCAAATGCAAGGTGATGCATTTTGGAAAATCCAATTCAAGAGCGAACTATACAGTAGATGGAAAAGCCCTGGGGAAAATTGATGCACAGAGAGATCTGGGTGTTCACGTCCAGGTGGATAGAGTGGTCAAGAAGGCACATAGCATGCTTTCATTCATCGGACGGGGTATTGAGTACAAGAGTTGGCGGGTCATGTTACAGTTGTATAGGACTTTGGTTCGACCACATTTGGAATACTGCATACAGTTCTGGTCGCCACATTACCAAAAGGATGTGGATGCTTTGGAGAGGGTGCAGAGGAGGTTCACCAGGATGTTGCCTGGTATGGAGGACGCTAGCTATGAAGAGAGGTTGAGTAGATTAGGATTATTTCCATTAGAAAGACGGAGGTTGAGGGGGGACCTGATTGAGGTCTACAAAATCATGAGAGGTGTAGACAGGGTGGATAGCAAGAAGCTTTTTTCCCAGAGTGGGGGACTCAGTTACCTGGGGTCACGATTTCAAGGTGAGAGGGGAAAAATTTAAGGGAGATATGTGTGGAAAGTTCTTTACGCAGAGGGTGGTGCATGCGTGGAACGCGTTACCAGCGGAGGTGGTAGAGGCGGGCACGATTTAAGATGTATCTAGACAGATATATGAATGGGCAGGGAGCAGCGGGATACAGATCCTTGGAAAATAGGTGACAGGTTTAGATAGAGGATCTGGATTGGCGCAGGCTTGGAGGGCCAAAGGGCCTGTTCCTGTGCTGTAATTTTCTTTGTTCTTTGTAATGAGGTCAGGACATCATAATGAGTGGCCCTGGTGGATCCCAAACTGGGCATCACTGAGCAGGTTATTGCTGAGCACATGCTGCTTGATATTACTGTTGCAGCCAACTTCCATAACTTTACTGCTGATCGAGAGTAGACTCATGGGGTGCTAAATGGCGGGATTGGATTTTTCCTACTTTCTGTGTCGAAGACATAACTGGGCAATTTTCAACACTTGTCATGTAGATGCGTCTAGTCATTAGGCCAGTGTTGTAACTGTACTGGAGCAGCTTGGTTTGTGAAGTGGCAAATTCTGGATCATTAGTTTTCAGTGTTATTGCTGGAATGTTGTAAAGGAAATGTCCAGTGTCTCCAACCATTTCTTGATATCACCTTGAGTGAATCAAATCAGCTGACACTAATGTCACTGACCGAGTGGTCCAGGCTCATGCTTTGGCATTACAGCTTCTAATCCCATCAGAGCAGCCAAATTCCATCAATAAATTTGGAATTCCAAATAAGTCTCATGAAATTATCATTGATTTTTGGGAAAGTCCATCAGTTGAGTGATGTCCTCTCTGGAAGGAACCCTGCCCATCCTTTCCTGGTCTGGTTTAAATACAGAGCCACAGCAAGGTGGATGTCTCCAGAATGGCCAAGTGAGTCACTGGGGTTCTCCTGAACAGTCAATGTTGATGGACCACAGCAGTTCAGGGAGGTATCCCAACAACACCCTTTCCTCCAACAGCCACATCACATGAGAGAATTAATATGAAGAGAACGCAATTTTCTCTCAAAATCCCATGCTCATAGTGTCTGAAATCACTATCACCAGCAACACTGTGCCAAAACAAGCAGGAAATTGAATGGTAACTCTCAGACCATGTCTCTGTGACAGCACTTGGGAATTCCTTGTGTCCATCAGAACATTGCACATTGAACAATTCACACCCTGGAGACACGAGTATTTTCAATTACAGAATTTTATTGATCAATTAGATTGAAAGCATGGTCACAGTACTGAGCCTGAGTTTGTGTAAACTCCGCTCTTCTACCCTTTAGTATCAGGCCGTACAAAGTGTCTGATGGATCACTTGAAATCATCACTTTAATGACTATTTCCATCATTGTTCTCACTGTTTTCTTCTTTTATTTCCAGCAACACTTTGTCAGAAACAACCAGAAGTTCATCATCTCCTGTAAAAAAGAGGAGGGTCAGTGGCCTCACAGCCAGTTACAGGTTAGTGCCACACAGTGAGACAGCAAGTGAAGCACCGAGCAGTTTCCTTCACCTGAGCTTTCCCTCCCGCTCTCGGGGAGGCTCTGTCCTTTTCACAATATTTACCCCCCCATACCGAAAACGGTTAAGAACCTTCTGATTTCTGCCTGACTTTACCCCCTTAGACACTTCTGGCCTGACTGTTTCACTTTAGCCACCGGCAGAACTCTGGCTGGTGACTGCAAGTTCGACCGTGAAACGGAAATCATCAGGAAATAGAGTGACGCCCAGCTGAAATATACGAGGAATTGACTTGCTTGAGTAAACGAAAGGAACATAGGCAGTATTAAAGGGTTGACGGTGAATGTCCAAAATTGGTGGTGTAGTGGACAGCCAGGAAAGTTGCCTCAGAGTACAGCTGGACCTTGATCAAATGGGTCGATGGGCCAAGGAGTGGCAGATGGAGTTTAATTCAGATAAATTTGAGCTGCTGCATTTTGGTAAGGCAAATCAGGGCAGGACTAAAACACTTAATGGTAAGATCCTGAGGAGTGTTATTGAATAAAGAGATTTTGGGGAGCAAGTTCATAGTTCCTTGAAAGTGGAGTTGCAGGTAGACAGGATATGAAGAAGGCATTTGGTATGCTTGCCTTTATTGGTCAGTGCATTGAGTATCGAAGTTGGGAGGTCATATTGCAGCTGTACAGGTTATTGGTTAGGCCACTTTTGGAATACTGTGTTCAATTCTGGTCTCCCTGCTGTGGAAAGATGTTGAGAAATTTGAAAGGGTTCAGAAAAGATTTATAAGGATGTTGCCGGGTTTGGAGGGTTTCAGCTATAGGCAGAGGCTGAATAGGCTTGGGCTATTTTCCCTGGAGTGTCAGAGGCGGAGGGGTGATCTTATAGCAATTTATAAAATCATGAGGGGCTTTAATATGGTGAATAGTCAAGGTCTTTTCCCCACAGCAGGGGAGTCCAAAACTGGAGGGCATAGGTCTCAGGCAAGAAATTTAAAAGGGATCTAAGGGGCAACTTTTTCCTGCAGAGGGTGGTGTATGTATAGAATGAGCTGCCAGAGGGAAGTGGTGGAGGCTGGTACAATTACAACATTTAAAAGGCATCTGGATGGATGCATGAATAGGAAAGGTTTGGAGGGATATGGGCCAAATGCTGGCAAATGAGACTAAATTAATTTAGGGTATCGAGTCAGCTTGGATGAGTTGGACCGAATGGTTTGTTTCCATGCTGTACATCTTTGTGACTGTATGCCTCTATGTCAATATGTAAATAAACTCTTGCAATATTCAACCTGTTCTGCCCTGAACCAAGTCCTTGCGTATGTCGTACCTTATAGGACAGCATCAAAGTATTCCTCACACTCCTACTGGGTGTAAAACGTGTTTCTGCTTCCTTGACACCTACTGTACATGAAGGGTACACATGTACCAGCAGCACAGTCAAAAGACCAGTGGTTAGCACTGCTGCCTGACAGCATCAGGGACCGGGGTTCAATTCAACCCTTGGACGACTGTCTCTTTCAAGTTTGCATATTCTCCCTGTGTCTTTGAGTTTCCTGTGGGTATTCTGGTTTTCTCACATAGTCCAAAGATGTGCAGGTTAGCTGGATTGGTCAGTGCTAAATTGCCCATAGTGTCCAGGGATGTGCAGGCTAGGTGGGTTAGCCATGGGAAGTGCAGGTTTATAGGGAAAGGGTAGGGGGATGGGTCTGAATGGGATGCTCTTCAGAGGGTTGGTGTGGGATACACTCATCCAAGCAAGTGAGTACAGTGAAAAGTTTACAGTCACTGCTTTATAGCTCCATCTTAGGTGCAAAGTTACCTAGCTACAGATATTTAACACCAAATTCTAAGGAAACAAAAAAAAATTAGAAAAGTAAAGAAATAAATAGTCCACCATTAGAGATCATAGGAATAAATTAGAAAAATAACGAAGTAAAAATCTCAGAAAATCAGTCTTTCCAACCCAGTCCAGGCTGCACCTAATCTCAAAGAGGACAGTAAACAAGAAGCAAAAGTAAAATTCATGATCTATCAAACCAGGTTTGATTCTGGGATCCAACTTGTCCAGGATCACTTTTAGCTGGGATTAGAACAACAGTTGAAAAGAGTGTGCAGGATATGATGGCCCTGGGGTTCATGTGCATTATACTTTGAATGTGGCAGTTAATAGAGTGCATGAGACATTGGGCTTCATGGTAGAATTATCGTATACAAAAGGAGAGAATTGATTCAGAACCTGTACCAATTTCAGGTTAGGCTACAATGACGATACTGTGATAACAAGGTGTGGAGCTGGATGAACACAGCAGGCCAAGCAGCATCATAGGAGCAGGAAGGCTGACGTTTCAGGCTTAGACCCTTCATCAGAAATGGGGGAGGGGAAGGGGGTTCTGAAATAAATAGGGAGATCTCTCCCCCTCTCTCTAGAATCTTAGAAAATTGGCAAAGCAGGGCCCAGAATCAGGTTCCAGTTGACAGGATTCTTCAGAACAAAAGCAAACAACAATGAACACAGAAAACTTCCTAACCCAAACGCTAACGCTGACTGTAACCCAATGGAGGGCCACTCAGTTCCCTAACCCTTTCCACTCCAATAAACTGGGAATCAGGACCAATATTCACACAGTTACTCTCAGACTGCCTGATAATGGATTTTCCAACTGGGGCTGTTTCCTACTCTGTCCTCAGTAAGACAGCCAGTGTTAGATCCAACACCATGCCCCATGCTGTTCTCACCTGCAGTATCAATTGTGCTCATGAAGCCTCTAAGGACAGACCCTTCCTCATCTTGTTCTCCGAATGCGTGCCGTTTGCGATTCTTCTGCAGAGGGACAGATGGAGAAAACATTGAGGAATTACATAAGGACCAGAAAATTGAAGAACCTTTTATCATTTAGTACACAATGATAGGTGTAGGGACAGATTGAGGAAGCAGAGGGGCTGCAGAAGGACATAGACAGATGGGAGAGTGGGAAAAATGGCAGATGGAATACAATGTAGGAAAGTGTGAGGTTATGCATTTTTGTAGGAACAATAGAAGTATAGACTATTTTCTAAATGGGGAAAGGCTTCAAAAATCTGAAGTACAAAAGAATTTAGGAGTCCTCATTCAGGATTCTCTTAAGTTTAACATGGAGGTTCAGTTGGCAGTTGGGCAAATGCAATATTTGCATTCATTTCAAGTGGGTTAGAATACAAGAGCAGGGATGTACGCTGAGGCTTTGTAAGGTTCTGGTCAGATGACATTTAGTATATTGTAAGCAGTTTTGGGCACTATATCTACAGAAGAATTTGCTAACATTGGAGGGGGGCAGAGCAGGTTTACAAAAATGATCCCGAAGATGAAGGGACTGTCACGTTGCGTTCATTGGTCAGTGCATTCAGTACAGGAGTTCGGAGGCCATGTTGTAGCTGTACAGGACATTGGTGAGGCCACTTTTGCAATGCTGCATTCAGTTCTGGTCTCCCTGCTATAGGAAAGATGTTGTTAAACTTGAAAAGGTTCAGAAAAGATTTATAAAGATATTGCCAGGATTGAAGGGTTTGGGCTACAGGGAGAGGCTGAACAGGCTAGGCTTTATTCCCTGGAGGGTCAGCGGCTGAAGAGTGACCTTACAGAGGTTTATAAAATCATGAAAGGCATGGATAGGATGAATAGCCAATATCTTTTTCCGAGGTAAGGAGTCCAAAACTAGAATGTAGTGATTGTAACGAGGTCAGCCAGGTGGACTCTTGAATATGAGTTCTCTGACTGGGGCTGACAATCTGGTCCAATCAGGGAACCCTGTCTGACAGATAAGAACAGAAGTGTCAGACATTCTGTTCACTCTGACAGCTGGCTCTGAGGGAGCTGGATCAGTGTCAAGGAATCTCCACGTGTAAATAAAGGGTGAATTAGTGATGGGATACTGGTCTGTGTGAAGTTATTTCAGTGGTGATGAGAAAAATGCAGACTCTTCAAGAAATTCGCTCACAACAGTCATTTTTTGAGTTGGAGTAAGCATGTCCAGTATCATGGCATTACTTGGGAAGCTTGACTCGTTCAATCCTGCCATCAAAGACTGGGCCCAGTATGTGGAAAGAATGTGTTACTTTTTCTGGGAAATGACATTGGACAGATGAAAAGCAAAGAATTTTTCCAACAGCTTGTGGACACACACCTTTTTTATTAATTAGGCATCTAACTTTCCCTGAGGCACCAGCTACTAAAACCTTTCAAGAGTTGACAGACTTAGTTAAGGAGATAGTAGGAACTGCAGATGCTGGAGAATCTGAGATAACAAGGTGTAGAGCAGGATGAACACAACAGGCCAAGCAGCATCAGAGGAACAGGAAGGCTGACGTTTCGGGTCTAGACCCTTCTTCAGAAATGGGGGAGGGGAAGGAGGTTCTGAAATAAATAGGGAGAGAGGGGGAGGCGAATAGAAGATGGATAGAGGAGAAGATAGGTGGAGAGGAGACACAGGTCAAAGAGGCGGGGATGGAGCCAGTAAAGGTGAGTGTAGGTGGGGAGTTAGGGAGGTGATAGGTCAGTCCAGGGAGGACGGACAGGTCAAGGGGACGGGATAAGGTTGGTAGGTAGGAGATGGGGGTGGGGCTTGAGGTGGGAGGAGGGGATAGGTGGGAGGAAGGACAGGTTAGGGAGGCGGGGATGAGCTGGGCTGGTTTTGGGATGCAGTAGGGGGAGGGGAGATTTTGAAGTTTGTGAAGTCCACATTGATACCATTGGGCTGCAGGGTTCCCAAGCGGAATATGAGTTGCTGTTCCTGCAACCTTCAGGTGGCATCGTTGTGGCACTGCAGGAGGTCCAGGATGGACATGTCGTCTGAGGAATGGGAGGGGGAGTTGAAATGGTTCGCGACTGGGAGGTGCAGTTGTTAGTGCGAGCTGAGCGTAGGTGTTCTGCAATGCGGTCCCCAAGCCTCCGCTTGGTTTCCCCGATGTAGAGGAGGCCACAATGGGAACAGTGGATGCAGTATACCACATTAGCAGATATGCAGGTGAACATCTGCTTGATGTGGAAAGTCTTCTTGGGGCCTGGGATGGGGGTGAGGGGGGAGGTGTAGGGGCAGGTGTAGCATTTCCTGCGGTTGCAGGGAAAAGTGCCGGGTGTGGTGGGGCTGGAGGGGAGTGTGGAACGGACAAGGGAGTCACAGAGAGAGTGGTCCCTCCGGAAAGCAGATAAGGGTGGGGAGGGAAAAATGTCTTTGGTGGTGGGGTCGGATTGCAGATGGCGGAAGTGTCGGAGGATGATGCGTTGGATCCAGAGGTTGGTGGGGTGGTACCTGAGGATGAAGGGGATTCTGTTTTGGTTGTTATTGCGGGGAGGGGGTGTGAGGGATGAGTTGCGGGAAATGCGGGAGACACGGTCGAGGGCGTTCTCGACCACTGAGGGGGGGAAGTTGCGGTCCTTGAAAATGAGGACATCTGAGATGTACGGGAGTGGAATGCCTCATCCTGGGAGCAGATGCGGTGGAGGCGAAGGAATTGGGAATAGGGGATGGCACTTTTGCAGGAAGGTGGGTGGGAGGAGGTGTATTCTAGGTAGCTGTGGGAGTCAGTGGGCTTGAAATGGATATCGGTTTCTAGGTGGTTGCCAGAGGTGGAAACAGAGAGGTCCAGGAAGGAGAGAGAGGTATTAGAGATGGTCCAGGTGAACTTAAGGTTGGGATGGAAGGTGTTGGTGAAGTGGATGAACTGTTCGAGCTCCTCGTGGGAGCACGAGGTGGCGCCGATACAGTCATCAATGTAACGGAGGAAGAGGTGGGGTTTGGGCCAGTGTAGGTACGGAAGAGGGATTGTTCCACGTAACCTACAAAGAGGGAGGCATAGCTTGGGCCCATGCGGGTACCCATGGCCACCTCCTTTGTCTGTAGGAAGTGGGAGGAATTGAAAGAGAAATTGTTGAGGGTGAGGACGAGTTCAGCTAAGCGGATGAGGGTGTCAGTGGAGGGGGACTGGTCGGTCCTGGGTGTCAGGAAGAAGCAGAGGGCTTTTAGGCTATCTGTATGGGGAATGCAGGTGCATAGGGACTGGACGTCCATGGCAAAGATGAGGTGTTGGGGACCAGGGAATTGGAAGTTCTGGAGGAGGTGGAGGACGTGGGTGGTGTCATGGACGTAGGTAGGGAGTTCCTGGACCAAGGGGGAGAAAATGGAGTCCGGATAGGTGGAGATAAGTTCGGTGGGGCAGGAGCAGGTGGAGACAATTGGTCGACCAGGGCAGTCAGGTTTGTGGATTTTGGGAAGGAGATAGAAGCGGGCGGTGCGGGGTTGGGGAATGATGAGGTTGGAGGCTATAGGTGGGAGGTCACCTGAGGTGATGAGGTTTTGGATGGTTTGGGAGATGATGGTTTGGTGGTCGGGGGTGGGGTCATGATCAAGGGGACGGTAGGAGGAGGTGTCAGAGAGTTGGTGCCTGGTCTCAGCGATGTAGAGGTCAGTGCGCCATACTACACCTTTGTCCCCCTCCACCCACACATCAATGAATACCGGTCACGTTTGGACATTGAACAGTCTTTCCGCCGCCTCCGCGCTTACTTCTTCAACCGTGAGCCTATCCCCTCCTCTACTGACCCCTTCTCCCACCTCCAACACACTCCCTCCTCCTGGACACCACCCCAAGGCCTCCTACCCTCCCTTGACCTCTTCATCTCCAACTGCCGTCGAGACATCAATCGCCTCAACCTCTCCACCCCTCTCACCCACTCCAACCTCTCCCCCGCAGAATGTGCAGCCCTCCGCTCCCTCCGTTCCAATCCCAACCTCACCATTAAACCCGCAGACAAGGGAGGCGCAGTTGTAGTATGGCACACTGACCTCTACATCGCCGAGGCCAGGCGCCAACTCTCCGACACCTCCTTCTACCGTCCCCTTGATCATGACCCCACCCCCGACCACCAAACCATCATCTCCCAAACCATCCACAACCTCATCACCTCAGGTGACCTCCCACCCACAGCCTCCAACCTCATCGTTCCCCAACCCCGCACCGCCCGCTTCTATCTCCTTCCCAAAATCCACAAACCTGACTGCCCTGGTCGACCAATTGTCTCCACCTGCTCCTGCCCCACCGAACTTATCTCCACCTATCTGGACTCCATTTTCTCCCCCTTGGTCCAGGAACTCCCTACCTACGTCCATGACACCACCCATGTCCTCCACCTCCTCCAGAACTTCCAATTCCCTGGTCGCCAACATCTCATCTTTACCATGGACGTTCAGTCCCTATACACCTGCATTCCCCATACAGATGGCCTAAAGGCCCTCCACTTCTTCCTGTCCCGCAGGCCCGACTAGTACCCCTCCACTGACACTCTCATCCGCTTAGCCAAACTCGTCCTCACCCTCAACAACTTCTCTTTCAATTCCTCCCACTTCCTACAGACAAAGGGGGTGGCCATGGGTACCCGCATGGGCCCAAGCTATCCCTGCCTCTTTGTAGGTTACGTGGAACAATCCCTCTTCCGTACCTACACTGGCACTAAACCCCACCTCTTCCTCCGTTACATTGATGACTGTATCGGCGCCACCTCGTGCTCCCACGAGGAGCTCGAACAGTTCATCCACTTCACCAACACCTTCCACACCAACCTTAAGTTCACCTGGACCATCTCTAATACCTCTCTCTCCTTCCTGGACCTCTCTGTTTCCACCTCTGGCAACCACCTAGAAACCGATATCCATTTCAAGCCCACCGACTCCCACAGCTACCTAGAATACACCTCCTCCCACCCACCTTCCTGCAAAAATGCCATCCCCTATTCCCAATTCCTTCGCCTCCACCACATCTGCTCCCAGGATGAGGCATTCCACTCCCATA